AGGTCAGATTTGGTCCGTGCGACGTGAGCCCCGCCTTCTTGCAGGATGCTGTTCTGCCAAGAGGTGGCACTAGCCCTTACACCCAGTGCTTTGTGCCACCAACTCGGCCACCTGCCTCCCATGACCACAGCTAACGTGCCAGTTTCTCTTTCTCAGTTCCCTGCACTGAGTGAGACACTGCCAAAAATATGCACGAAAGAAGAACCGCACCCCAAACATTTCAAATTCCAGGGAGCTTTATGTTAAAATTCAAAGTACACTTTCCAGTTATTTTGAAATGAGGGGTTTGTCTTACTGTAGTTTGCCCGGCTAACCATTTCAAACAAACATCTGACCCTTTGGATCCCTTGGCGATCTCCCGGAGAGCCAGCTGCTGAGAAATGTTTTATTCTGGCTTGATTGACTTTGTTGATGGGAACCAACCATTCTCACCCCAAAATTCCTGGCTGTGTGTGGAGTTCCTTGGGCAGGGCCGGCTCTGCTGAATAGTCACGGACCAGGTGCTGGGCTCTAGCGTCAGGCTGCTCAGACACAGAGCCTGGCCCTGCCTTTATTAATCATTGAGGCCTGGACAAGTTACTTAGCCTCAGTGTCTTCTTCTGTGAAATGGGGATTAATATTAATGTTACTATTGATATCTGTGGGGATTTAGAAATACTCACCCAATGCCTGCACATATAAAGCACTCATTTCGTGTGCATTGTCGTTAGTATGTAGGCAGGCCTGGTGTCTTGATTTCAAAGGCTCCTCACCCAAGAGAGACCCCTGAGTTCTTGAGACAGCAACTTGAGTTGTGGTTCTTTTGTGGATGCGGGAAATGGACTACTTCCAGGCGGGCAGATGGGCCGGCCTCCTGCCGTTGGTCAGACTTCACTTCCACTTACCAGTCTGTGAAGAGACCTGGCCAACTCAATGCGAAGTGGATTGAGGGTGGCTAAACCACTGCCCAGGTCCCCTGGATTGTAAGACTCCGCATTGGGTGGTGTAACAGTCTGGCACCCCCTCCCCACAGCAGGTCCCATTAAATGGGTGATGTTGGTGGTGCTGCCCAGGCCCTGATGTCAGCCCACAACTCCGTGCACTCCCTTCCCGTCCGCTGGTTGATTGGAGCAACCTCGGCAGCTTCCATGAGGGCCGCTCAGTGTGGTTCCCTGGGGAGTGGAGAGGGCAGGGTGCTGAAGTCAGACCTGAATATCCCAGCTGCCTCCTGAGCTCAGCAAATGGGAAGTGAGGTCACTTCTGTGAGCCTCCAAGAGTTGCTAATGTCACACGAGTCACCGAGTCACTGCACATAGACAGGCCTTACTAGCCAGTGAGCAGGGTCAGGGCTGGGGAGGTGGAGGATTTAAGGAGGCACCCAAACTTGCACAACCCAGACAGTGAGTGCCTCCTTAAAGCTTGCCGGGGCGGCTTATCTGCCTCCCTGTCCGCCCCGCCCAGCCAACCAGCCAGGACCCAGACAGCCAGGACTCGGGCTTTAGACTGAGAGCCAAGCTGCTGCTACAGTTGTTTCCCTGCTTCACACCCTGGAATGCTGCCCACCACTAGTGTCAGTGGTTGTAACAGGCTCTCATTCATAATGTCAACAGCAATCACGCTGACCCACCTCCCGCCCCACAGCAGCACTCTGAAACCCGGGGCGAGAGAGCCAGACCCAGACCCTTCGCTGCGCTCTCCCCCCTCCCGCCCCTGGCAACGGGGGCATGGGGGAGGGGGCTCGGACTGTCCCCAGTGCGCCCTAGGCCAGTGGAGGGGGTGTTGCAGGCGCCACGCTGGGGGAGTGA